TGCCAGCAGCAGAAGGGATGCTGCTCTCCTTGTGTGCAATAGCAACTGATTAAAGCACAGACCAGGAGACAAGACAGTTCAGACATCTACTCTGTCAAGAGATATCCAGAAATTTATTTCCAAATGAAATGTTCTAAACCCCAGTAGCTGCTTATTTCAGGGAGGAGTGAGCCAGGATATGGTGCTCCCTATGTTTGAAGTTTGGCCACTACTAGATAGAAAGGCATTTGAGATTCTCTGGGCTACAGAAAACAAATTGTGGAGAGAGCACAGCTACTCATCCCCCTTCCTTACAGCTGCATCCTCCTTACATAGGAGAGGGGAGATGCACAGTCTGGGAAAACATATTTTTTGACTTTTTTATATGCTAGGCAAGTGCTTTCAGCACATATATCTAGGAAATGGGAAACTAATAAAAAGTTTACTGTTCAAATATTTGGGGTTGTTTTGCTTTAAATATGGTCTCTGTTTGGTTTTTTTTTTTTTTTTTACAAGTAGCTTACACTTTTTCATGTATATTCGCTGCACTCTTAAGACACTGAAATTCCTTAGGCTGTTCAATTGTATTGTAAAAGAGGCAGTGTAATGGATATTTGGGGTGCCTGGGAACTCTCTGGTTACAGATTGCTGTGCTAATAGCATTATGGCAATGCCAGTCTTACCAGATATGACCATTAGTTTGTTATGAAATGTAACTGCAAGGAAAGCTACGTCCGCCATGTACTTCAAGAAGCAATTTTACATGTCCAAAGGATTTGCACTGTCCTCAAAACTGAAAAAACGTCAAAGCGTTTGCTGCAATGTCAAGTGAGGACACCATTTTGACTTAGACACAACAGCAGAGTTTTGAAATATGCCTGAGTGTTTTGAATTTGAACAATATTCTCCTTACTGAGAGGTTTTAGCTTCATCCATAGCTGCTAAAATACGTCTGCATGAAAACTAAAGTTGTGTCACTACACAGTGAGAATTAAAGATTCATTTAGGCAGAGAGAATAAAACAGGGAAGAAAATTCTTTGACCTATTCAGAGTTAAACTTGCAGTGCTATAGTTAACCTACACGTATTTATTACTTATATGAACACATATTATGAATGTTAAATATATAATATCTAAATATTGTAATATAAATAGCCATAGTTGCATAGATATTAAATTATTTAGTATTTACTCATCTATATCTATGAATGTATATATTTAAATATATATAAATATATATCTATTTGAAAGATGCAGCAAAACCTCTAATGTCAGCCAGAAAAAAGGCTGGTTAAGCTAGAAAAAGTGCTTGTTTTATGAAAAAGTAAAATTGCAATTCACAGCATTTTATGTAATGCTGTACACATTACCAGATACCAGAGACTGCATTTCTGGACCTGAATAGTACTAAAAGTTGCAACTAAGGGCAAATATAAAGACACTTGTTTACAATGCAAAGGCTTAGTCAGTACTATAAGCAATATGGCAATTTGCATAGCAGAAGACAGAATGCTTTGTGATGTGATTTTTACTTTATGCATCAATTCCTACACACATGACCAAACTCAACAACAGCCCCATTAATTTCAATCATTAAAAAAAAGGAGAAAATACTGCAAATAAACCAATACATTAAATGGGGATTAAGACATAACCAAGATATTTACAGAGTCATATATTTGTCTTATTTACTGGGTGCTAGTCCTATTTCATGAAGACCTCACTAAAGCACTTAAAAGTGTACTAGACATGGGCTGGCAATCCTATTACTGAAGCTGCTGGTGACACTTCCACTTTTTCAGTTATGAATTTGTCAAATAACACAGTCTGAAATTGTACATACTAGGTGTGTGAGTGACTTCCTTGCTTTTGTAACAAACTCCATCCAGAACTGTTAGGCTTTTTAAAGAATGCACCAAGAGGAAAGCACCATATGCCACTTAAAAAATTTGGTGCCCATCCTTAAGTTGCAATGGAAGAGGGACTTGAACTCTGGAATGGATAATGAGAGATTATGTCAAAGCTTAATATCCCATCTTCCCAAGAAAAGACATTCAAATTTATAAATGTGCATCATCTGAGAAGGCAGCTAAGACTATTCCTTCTCATGGGCTCTTCCAGTACTGGTTGCCCTCTGTGATGCAAAGTAGTCTGTCCCTCAAGTCCATCTCCAGTTTCTGTCACGATGCACCCATGGCTTTGAGTTTATAAAGGTTGAGGATGCAAAGGACAAGAGAAAGACTAGGAAAAAGAGTCGCTGAAGTAAATGTTTGCTGCTGGAGAGAAGAGGAGAGGAGAGGAGAGGAGAGGAGAGGAGAGGAGAGGAGAAGAGAGGAGAAGAGAGGGGAA